GTTTCATGGGTATCGTAGCCCCATATTTCTCTTTCGAATGGTGAAAACCGCACCTCTCTATCTATCACCGTTCCGGAGCTATAAGGTCAACACTGACCGGCCATTCTATTTTGAAATGGATAGTAGCTCCAAAATACCACCATCATAGTGATGATCATCATCTATCTTCTGCCAAATCAAATTTACATTCCACAACATCTTCTAGTCATCATCACTATGAAGAAATATCGTCAAACAAGGAAAAATCATCCTTCTCACCTTGCAAAGAGGACGAAAAAGAATGCCGGGAAAATGTTAACCGTGAGTAATCTTTCGTAGGCATTCTTAATGTTCATCTTCAGTTTTATTTTTTATCTAGATGATGACATGAACTGTGATTTCACCTCATAGTAGAATAGAATCAAACGTATTTGAATATAAAATTGAATCTAATTCTTCTTTTTGATGAAATTGTTTACTTATCCACTTTAATGTACACTCACATGTACTTGTGATTCCTCTTTTATTTTTGTTTTCGTGTTTCTTTGCAAACTTACTCAAACAAACATGTTTTCACGCTTATTATGTATCTATCTCATGTTTTTAACAAATAAGATATTTTTCTTGCAAGTTTGTCTTGTTTTTGTCATTTTTCCTTCGTTTGTTTCAATCAATAATAAATTACGATAACTACTTTTGTAATCTAATTCCGTTGTGCTTCTTTTAATAATGCGTCGATTAATTAACCATGTCCATCAACCAGTTTCCTTATTGTCTCTAGCACAAAGACACACCATTCAAAGTTCCGTCGATGAAGAACGGATAGAACGGAACCTTTGAAGACAGAAAAACACTTTTCTTTTTAACGGAAAAAAATCAAATTCTGTTAAACGTAATAGAGATCGGAATGACCATCACCAAAACAGGCTGTCATGGTTATCGCAAATTTTCGGCTACAAACAATTTCTTTGTCTCTGTTTGACACCTTGTATTTTTTTTCTTAACGACACTTATTCAAAACTATCCACCTAATTATCCATCAAAATATTATATGTTTTTCTTCATCAGGGTTTACCATGGCAACAACTGCTGTGATTTTTCTGTCTCTCTCGTACATGGAACAAGACTGGTATTACAGTGGCTCAGAGTTGTAACCGGACCGGCAGACCTGCCGATCCGTTCTAGTGCCGGTCCGGTCCGGTGTAGAAGTTGTCTCCGCCGGTCTAGAAAGATTTTCAAACCAGTCGGTGATTGACCGGCTTTTGCCGGTTTTGAAATTCTTAGCATTTTTTTTTTCTTTCGCTAAAAAAAGATGAGTTTTTCTACTACCCTCTTGTCCGTCTTGCTGGTTTTTCACCAGTTTAAAACGATTTCTGGACCAGCGGGGCCGGTTAGTTCCGCTGTTTTGTGCCGGTCGGCTCGGTCCGACCTCTTATTTTTAGACCGGTTACAACTCTGCAGTGGCTGGACAATCTTTGGGGAAAGCCGGTAGTGATTTAGACAGCCTTGATTGTCTCGCCGATGTCTTTATTGATGATTTAAATAATATTTATATTTATGATTGCAACATAACAGTATACGCTTAATAGTACTAAAGAACAACAGATAACCGGTGATGGTACTGTTGGTAAGATCAACTTTCAGATGCAAGCGTTATGTATCTAGATCAGGTTCAACAACAGTTATACGTAGGTGATGATACGAGTATTCAACGTTTTGATATGAATACTAGAGAAACACTACCATTAAATGGCACAACGATAATTGGTCCATGTGGTTCTGGAACAGATTTAAGTGCTTCGGATGTCTATTATAATATAATAAATAACTGGCTGTATGTATCTGATTCCTTTAATAATCGAGTACCCAGGACTTCGAAAACGATGTAATTAATTGTCTATTTAATACGAGTTAATAGCTAATGAAATAGTCATTAAATAGCCATTTTGACACCTTATGAATGGAAACGTTTTAATGCCTTAAAATGACATTTTTTAACAAGCTAAAAACTGTCCTAAAATAGGCAGTTAATAGCATCATGTAATAGCCATTTTTACACCATTACTGGCTGTTAACGATCAATTATCGAACGTTTTCTTTGATTAATTTTTTGATTAGTACTCCAAATATTGTGATTTCGGAAATTTTTGGTTCCTTAGATCCACGGTGCCATCAGTAGCACCCGGTCCAGAACCAGCGACAACTTTCACTAGACAAGTTTCGATGACTTGTACAACCAAATTTCAGTGATATATATACCTGTACACTGTAAAAAATAGTCGTAGATTAATAAACTATCAAAAAGGGTTTATTGAGACCAATAAACCTTTTAAAAAACGCTTTTCCGTTTTTTATATCCAAAATGAAAAACGGGCGGTTTTCATTTTGCATCTGTCACCAACGCTTTTTAGTTTTTTGGATATAAAAAACGGAAAAGCGTTTTTTAAAAGGTTTATTGGTCTCAATAAACCCTTTTTGATAGTTTACTAATCTACGACTATTTTTTACAGTGTATCCGTCATGATTGCAAAATAAAAGGGTGAGTGAAACAGTCAGTTTTTTCACGGTATATTTTACAATTGAAGAATGGTCTGTTAATAGCCATTTAATTGTGACAGTTATTTTACATTTAAGGGTGCACAGTTAAATGCCTGTTTTTTGCCATTACAACAGTCAAAAAAATTTACACTAAATAGTGACTGTTAACTGCATTTTTTTCAGCATTTTGTGATATGTTAAATGCCTTTTCCCGAGCCTTTATCAACAATCTCATAACAGACAATAAACTGAGTGTTACCCGGCAGTTTTTTAACAGTTATTCGAGTGTTAAAAGCCAGTTTTTTTGGCATACATTTAAAACGCATTACATGGCTTATTAAATGTCAGTTATGTTTCACCTGAGTAGTATTATATACACAAAAGTCATTAAAAGGTGTCATACTCTCTGGCAATATTAGCGATAGTGGAAGATTGTTATCAAGATTAAATGCCCCAAAAGGTGGATACATCCGAACAAAGTTTATTACAAAACATTATTATTTGTCAGCTTATTCGCCGTTGAAAATACCTTGGTTCACCTATACTACGAAATTGATAATATACTTGTCGTTGCGATTAATTCCGACATCCAGGTAGAGCACTCTCATCTTGGAGAAGATTGCACGCTCTGAAGATACGGAAGGAGAAAGGAATGTTTTTTGTCGTTATTCGTCGAATCTTATATCATGTCAAAAATTTTTAGGTCAATTATTTTATTTCCTTTCTAGCAAATTCATTACAGCATTTCACAGCCATTAACTGACATTAGTTCTCAAATCTTTTTATGTCGACAAACATTATGCGTTTTTTGCTGGGAACTTTGTTTTTTATTTTCTTCTGTCGTCCTTTTTTGGGTAAAATGTGCACCGCGTGATCTACAGAACTATGAAAGCTACAAAAGTTCTGGAAAAGGTACGATATTCTCCCGACATTAGAGATTGATCAATGCACATTTTTCTAGCAAATAAACGTCCAGATTCGATGCCATAAACGCCACAAGTGAAAGAAAAATGTATTTTGGACTTCGAAATTTTTCGTATATTTAGTTGTCCGGCGCCATTTGTTCTTAAGAAGAAAAATTATTGTCTCATTTCTGTTTCTCTGTTCTGTTATTCTCCCTAACTATGTCTTTTAAAGTAGCTGAAATAGAAAATCACAGTGAGAGCGAGTGCAGTGGAATTCTACTTTTGGCAGTTGTCAGAAAAGACAGAGTCTGTTGATATCCCAACTTGTGCGCAGCACAATTACTCTCTAGTTTATTTTCTTCTTTCTTTCGTTCCTATTTTTTTTTGGCAAATTGTGCACCTCGTAATCTAGAGAACTATGGAAGCTAGAAAAGTTCTGAAAAAGGTAGGCTATTTTCCCGGCATTGATCAATGCACGTTCTTTTTTCAAACATAAGTCCAGAGTCGGCTTCATGAGCTACACAAGTAGAAGTAAAATGTTTTTTGGAGACTTTTCGTGTATTTATAAGAGTTGGTTGTCCCATGCCATTTATTCTTGAGACGAAATGTCAAATAAATATATCTGTATTGATTTGATTTACTCAGTATATATAAATATATATATATTGAGTAAATCAAGGCAACAACGCATGCTCATAACCTACTGATAGGATCTGCCTGCAGCGGTAGGTTCAGTCAGAGACGAAGTCTGTCGACATCGCAACTTGTGCGCAGCGCAATTGCAATCTAGTTTAATGATCAAATAGTGCTTCTGTTGCTGATGTCCCATATTTGGGGACGGGGGAGGGCAGAGCTGGAACCGGTTGAGAAAAATAAACCAGTCCGGTCTTGAGCATCGTTTTATTTATTCTGCCTGACAAAGACGTAAAATGTTAGTTTTTTTGACAAAAAACAGGGTAAAAAGAGCAAACTTTCAACCGGTAAAATACCGGTCTCTACCGAGCCGGTACCGGTTCCAGCTCTGCGTGCCACTGCTCTCTCCAATGAGCTGAGCTAGCTGGTTCAATGTTCTATCCGTCACACGCCCTGTCTCCTGAAATATTTTTTTCACTGCACGATCCAGAAATAATTTTAGCCCTCTTCGTAACGTTGGCATTTTATTTGGGGTTTCGACTGCTGTCATTCGTTTCTCTAAACCAGTTGAGTTTATTATCGCCGTACAGAGTTGAGAATGTGATATATGAACAGTGTTAAATTTGACCCGACTCTTTCCATCTACTTATTTTATTAGTTAACTTGAAAACAAAACTGTGGATAAGCAACTAGAATATTACTTTTTACCGTATCATCGGTACCCCCTATGTCGACACTATCTCTACTTGTTCCTATTAATATACGTTCTAATTGTAATGCTAAATCATCATTTAATACAGATAAGCATGCACCGAGTAATTGACTAAGGATTTTATATTTTTTCCAAAACCTGACGTTTCGTAAATTGCTTCGTTAAATATTTTCTGACTCGGTAAGAATGTAGAGCAAACATTTTTCTAAAAAGTGAGAGATGGGACAGCTCTGTACCAGTTATTTTGAGCATTTGGTAGCGATGCCGCCATAAGGGACTAATCGAGTACTCGATACTCGTTTACTACTCGATTATGTGTCCTTGAGGCAGCGATGCCGAAAGCTCAGAATAACTGGTACAGAGCTGTCCCATCTCTCACTTTTTAGAGAAATATTTTCTCTACATTCTTACCGAGTCAGAAAATATTTAACGAAGCAATTTACGAAACGTCAGGTTTTGGAAAAAATATAAAATCTTTTGTCAATTACTTGATGCATACCCAAAGACAGATAAAACAATTTTTAATTCATTTATACTTTCCTTATTTTGTAATAAACTAATTATATTGATCCATATGCGGTCTGATATCTATGATTATGCAATATTTATTAATTGTCCTAAATATTTAAAATCATTACATTGTGTACTATTGACAATATTTTCTTTAATTGATTGAAAATGTTGTTCATGATTAAATTGTGCTAAATATTCATTACTATTTGTGACAAGTTTCAAATCATTATCATTAAATATTTTTATTGGTTGATCTATTGATAAATCGATATCATCAACTAGATACTGTTCAATTTCTTGTTTGAATTTATCGACTAAATTTGTTGGTTCCGCTAATAATAAGTTTAGACTGATTCCATTTTTAGAAGGTATAGCGGTAGGAATAATAAAGTAAAATAATTTGTATAAGACCGCAACAAAATACATATTAAGAATTTTAACTAAATTCAATAATTTTATTTGTCGATTTCGAGCTTTCGGTACTGAC